CTCACGTGGAGGAGGGCGAGCTCGACCAGTCCTTGCTCCTCAAAACCATCTCCCCGCCCGCCAACGGGAACATCAAGAAGCACAAGTGTCCCGAGTGCGGAAAACTCTTCCTGCGCACAGACCATCTGCAGAACCACGCGCTGATCCACTCCGGAGAGAAGCCCTTCAAATGCCCCATCTGCGACCGCGAGTTCCGACGCATCCACCAGCTGCAAACCCACCTGCGCATCCACACCGGAGAGAAACCTTTCAGCTGTTCCATCTGCCACAAAACCTTCACCCGCAAGTTCTGCCTGGAGGAGCACACGAGAACCCACTCCAAAGACAAAACCTTCAGGTGTTCAGTGTGCGAGAAAGGCTTCACGCTGCCCAAAGGTCTGAGGGCGCACATGAGGAGCCACTCGGGGGAGAAACCTTTCAGCTGTACGGTTTGCGCCAAAGCGTTTAAAAGCAATGAGAACATGAAGCGCCACATGAAAACGCACTCGGAGGACGTGACCCCGGACCAGCTGCTCAAAGACATGTTCAGTGACAAAGGAGAGAAACCCTTCAGGTGTTCGGTCTGTGAGAAAGACTTCAGCGAAAAGGTGAATCTTCTCCGACACATAAAAATCACTCACGCGGGAGAGAGACCTTTCAGCTGTCCGTACTGTGACAAAACCTTCGGGCAGAGGTCCAACCTGGAGCGGCACATGAAGACGCACACCGGAGAGAAACCTTACAGCTGTCACTTCTGTCACAAAGGATTTATACAGAAACACAACCTCAGTGTCCACCTGAGAACTCACGCGCCAGACCCTGCAGCTATTCAGGCCGAGGAGGAGCCAGACCCCGCAGCTGTTCAGTCCAGGGAGGATCCAGAGTGAACTCGTGAGGACAATCAGAGTGACTTTAAACGTCTGTAATTTTAAAAACGGCTCTGGGAAGTTCAGGAGACGACGACCTGCTGCTCGACTCCCCCTTCAGAGCTGCTCGACAAAGGAACTTCTGAGTTCTTCATTCTGTCTTATTAAATATTTACACTTTACTTCCTGAAATGTTTTTTACCATCAGATTTGTGTCATTTTTAACTTTGTGCACAAGACGAGTCGATTTGTACAGAAACACAAACCGCACACGGAGTCGTTCAAAGTGTTTTACAGAAAAAGAAAAAGATTCAAGTCACAATAAAAAACAAATCGAAACATAAATAATTGTCTGAAACTCTGAAGAAACACGAGCTCAGTCTGAACTTGAGCAGTTTTTTTTACGAAGCACAAATCAGAAGCAAAAAGATTCAGAATCCGTCGTTTTCTAGTTTAGGTTTTTACAAACTGCAAAAACAAAGAAACTCAAACCTACAAGAACTGCATCAGTCGTTTGTGTTCATTTGTGTTTGTTTGTTTCGTTTGTGTTTTGTGTTTGGGTTCAGTTCAGTTTGTGCGATTCTGGTTCTTCAGATTTTCAGTTTTAAACTGCAGAAAATTAAACCAAACGTGTTTTTGTTTCGTGCTGCTGTTTGTTTGACTGTTTTCATTTGTTTTTAAAATGTTCCATGATTATTTCTGTGGATCATCTGATGACAGCGACTTTAACAAAACGACACAAAACTGTTGAAGAGAAACGAGCCGAGTCTGTGTCGGTGTCTTTAGTTTGTCGCTTTGGACTCAGATTTTGTAGAAAAACAGACTTTTCCACAGGTCGTTTCTCACCAAACTTTACAACAAACAAAACACAAACGAAACACAAACGACTGATGCAGTTCTTGTAGGTTTGAGTTTCTTAGTTTTAGCAGTTTGTAAAAACCTAAACTAGAAAACGACGGATTCTGAATCTTTTTGCTTCTGATTTGTGCTTCGTAAAAAACAACTCAAGTTCAGACTCAACTCAGGTTCTTCAGTCGACTCACGGCTCCGTTTGGATTCTGGACGTCACAGAAAAGACGAGAGACGAGTGTCTGTGTGTGTGTGTGTCTGTGTGTGTGTGTGTGTCTGTGTTGTGTGTGTGTGTGTGTGTGTGTCTGTGTGTGTGTTTGTCTGTGTGTGTGTGTGTGTGTGTGTGTGTGTTTGTGTCTGTGTGTGTGTCTGTGTGTGTGTGTCTGTGTGTGTGTGTGTGTGTGTGTGTGTGTCTGTGTGTGTGTGTGTGTGTGTGTGTGTGTGTGTGTGTCTGTGTGTGTGTGTGTGTGTCTGTGTGTGTGTCTGTGTGTGTGTCTGTGTGTGTGTCTGTGTGTTGTGTCTGTGTGTGTGTTCTGTGTGTGTGTGTGTGTGTGTGTGTCTGTGTGTGTGTGTGTTTGTCTGTGTGTGTGTGTGTGTGTCTGTGTGTGTGTGTGTGTCTGTGTGTGTGTGTGTGTGTCTGTGTGTGTGTGTGTGTGTGTGTGTGTTGTCTGTGTGTGTGTGTGTGTGTGTGTGTCTGTGTGTGTGTGTGTGTGTCTGTGTGTCTGTGTGTGTGTGTGTGTGTGTGTGTGTGTGTGTGTCTGTGTGTGTGTGTGTGTGTTTGTCTGTGTGTCTGTGTGTGTGTCTGTGTGTGTGTGTGTGTGTCTGTGTGTGTGTGTCTGTGTGTGTGTGTGTGTGTGTGTGTGTGTGTCTGTGTGTGTTTGTCTGTGTGTTGTGTTTGTGTCTGTGTGTTTGTGTGTGTGTGTGTGTGTCTGTGTGTTTGTGTGTGTGTCTGTGTGTGTGTGTGTTTCCGTCACTTTGTTCCTTTTATTTGTTTTTATTTTATGTTTAATTTATTTCAGTCAAAAACTAAGTCGGTGAAATGTAAAAAAACAAACAAAATAAAATAAAACAGGAAACAAAAATATAAATAAATATAAAAATATAAAAAATATAAAGGTCAAATGAGTTTGTGCTGATTCTTCATGTCACATGGTCTGGTCCTGGTCTTGGTTTAGTCCTGGTCCTGGTCTAGTCCTGGTCTCGGTGGTGCAGTGTCTCTTTGTGGTCTCCAGGGGGCGTGTGTGTTCGTACTGAACGCGCATGCGCAGTTTTGTCAGCGGCAGCGGTCGCTTTTAGCTTTTAGCCGAGTTTCCCCAAAGCTCAAACATGTCCCACATGTCCCACGTGTCCCACGTGTCCAAAGTGTCCACAGTGTCTCGCGCGCAGAGCGTGAGCGCGCTGGTGCGCGCGCGGCTGTGCGCGGCCGCGGAGGAGATCTGCGCGCTCCTGGAGAGGACCGTAGCGGGGTACGAGCACGAACTGAGCCGCGTGAAGCTGCAGGAGCCACGAGGAACTCGAGACCGAGCCGCGAGGACACGAGCCGAGGAGGAGCCGGAGCCGTATCGCCTCAGGAGCCTAAACCCCGAGAAACAACAGCGAGAAGAAGAACCCCGAGCCCAGAGACACACGACAGACAGGTGAGACAGGTGAGACAGGTGAGACAGGTGAGACAGGTGAGACAGGTGTTTCACAGCTGTGAAGTGAAAACCATTTCAGAGGGTTTGTGTTTTGTGTTTTATGGTTTGTGTTTTGTGGAGTTTGGACTTTGCAGAATCTGAGGATCTGAACATCAAATCTAAAACTCATTTAGTCACTTTTTTTCTTTGCTGCGTTTTGTGTTTTTGCTCCTGAGCGAAACCTGAGCTGCACAAACTCAAGCAAACGGAGCACCACAGTTTTGTGGTGGGTTTGTCCGTCACACGACCGAACCAGAACCAGGAACATGTGATTCTGTTCACGGGTTTATCAGGTTTTCCTCCTTCTCCCGTGTTCAGATGTTCAGATGTTCAGATGTTCAGATGTTCAGATGTTCCCTCAGCGCAGAGCAGCTGTGACTCTGTTGTTTTTGGTGAATAAAACATTTTTAAAAGAGTAAAAGTTGTAGCTACAGATCTGAAGACTCTGAACATGACGGGGGTTTGTTGTGTCTCCTGCAGGTGTTCAGATCGCGTCTCCTGCAGATGTTCAGATCGCGTCTCCTGCAGGTGTTCAGATCACGTCTCCTGCAGGTGTTCAGATCACGTCTCCTGCAGATGTTCAGATCACGTCTCCTGCAGGTGTTCAGATCGCGTCTCGGAGCGAAGAGGAGCTCCACGTGAAAGAGGAGCCAGACGAACAGCTGCAGAGTGTCCCCTTTGCCCCCGTCACCGTGAAAACCGAAGACGACGAAGACGAGTCCCCTGAGCTTCATCACGGATCATCTGAGGAGACCAGAGAGGAACCCGACGGAGAGCCCAGGACGACAGGAGCAGAGGCAGCCTGCAGCTCCGACCACAGACCATACAGCTGTTCAGACAGCGAGGAGCAGAGGGAGGAGCAGAGGGAGCTGGTGGTCAAACCGCACAGATGCCCCGAGTGCGGGAAGAGGTTCCTGCGTAAAGATCACCTGCAGGGTCACATGATCATCCACACGGGCGAGCGGCCACACAAATGCTCCTTCTGCGAGAAAACCTTCATCCGGCAGAACCACCTGAAGACCCACCTGAGGAACCACACAGGCGAGAGACCCTACAGCTGCTCCTTCTGTAACCGTGGCTTCACCACGAAGGCGCTGCTCACGCCGCACCTGAGGATCCACACCGGGGACCGACCTTTCAGGTGCTCCGAGTGCCACAAGGGCTTCATCCAGAGGAGCCACCTGAGAGCGCACGAGAAGACCCACCGCCGAGAGAGGACCTTCAGCTGTTCAGTCTGCGGGCGGGTGTTCTACGAGCGCGGGGAGCTCATGGTGCACTCCCGACAGGCACATCCTGACTGACAGGTGCACCCTGACTGACAGTGTTGGTGTAACGAGTTTCTACTGAATATTTGGTAACAAAACTTATTTCTTTTTTCAGTTTGGCGCAGCGTCGGTGTCGGCGTCGGCGCAGGTCCTCGGCGCAGGTCCTCGCCGTGGCGGCGCGGTGCAGTCGGGGAGGACAGTTCGCTCCGGTCGACAGCGAGCACTGATCCTACGGCCCCGGGAAGCGGCGAGGTCCGGGTGGGAGGAGCTGTAAAGCGTCCGGAGCGTCGTCGTGCCTCCTTCACCTCCAGTCTTTCGACTTGCGGTGCACCTGGAGGAAGCGGGACCAGCGACGCCCGGGGGGA